TCTCTCTCTCTCTCTCTCTCTCTCTCTCTCTCTCTCTCTCTCTCTCTCTCTCTCTCTCTCTCTCTCTCTCTCTCTCTCTCTCTCTCTCCATTTCTCATGCTCTGCAGGCCCAGTGTACTGTTTTGTTCCCTGTTAATGTATCCCGGGAAGGGCTGGCAGTCAAAGAGAGGACGGCTGTCAAGGGGCGTGATTATTCGTCTGTGTAAGTTGCAGAATCTATTCGCACTTTGCTTCATCATGGCACTACTATTTATATGCATCCCATACGTTGCAATGTTCACTTCTGTCGTTGATGAACAGCTCGAATTTTACGAGCAGTGAGAGTAGCTGCCAGGCTGGGGTTTCCGTTGGAGTCGTCTACTGGAAAAGCAATCGAAAAATGTGCTTCCTCAATTTTGTTGATGTCGAAGGTGGGTGTAATCACGTTGGCTGTATGTACTCCGTTACTGCTTTGACCCTTCCCTCCCTCTTTTGACTTTTCATCCTCTGCAGCAAGGCAAAGGGAAACAATGAAAACAGATGAAATTACAGAAAGAGAAGTAAGCAAAGAAACCAGAAGAGAAAAGGATGCAAAGAATGCAATTCAGGAAAAGAGAAGAAAATAAAATTTCAGAAGGAAAATGGCATGTCCATGACAAAACTGGGCAGTGAACCAATTCGTAAACCATAATGCTGACCATGTGGATGACATCTGGATGTCCGAATTTGTCCAAACGGTCCAATGCAGAGAAATAAAGAGTACAAGGGTTCCTATCTCTTGAAAGGCATTCCACGATGAAGACCCCAAATTCGAATCTCAGGGTCAAGGTCTCAGGTTAAAAGAGGCCAAGTCAGCCAGTTCAGAAAGGTCACAGTCGGGTACCTTAGGAGTCAAGTCCAACAGGCACCCGGTGAACAGTCACATCCCAGAGGCAACGGCTGCATTCTATAAGCAAAAGTCACGTCTCATATTGGAAAGTCATATCCCACAGGCAAAGGACACTTCCCCAGGCAAAAGTCATGTCCCAGAGGCAAGAGTCACATCCCACAGTCAAAATCATGTTCCACAGGTGAAAAGTCGTGACTCACAGGTCCAAGCAGCAGCACACCCATGAAAATTCGGGAAAAGTACCATGCCTTGACGTTCTGAAGCAAGCAGGCCGTGGGCATGTGGTACCCATACTGAGTCAAGCCACAAGAAGCAGAGGCTGGGACGAATTGAAGTTCAGTCCAAGTCAATATAAGGACTGGCCAGCCACATTTTGGACAGATTGATCATTCGTGAGAAGTGTGGAATTGCTGCTGAAGCGCTTGTGCGCTATCTGCGAGTAGCATGCGGGCGAGAGCCCTACTGGGCAGCGCTGCACTGAGAGGGAAGGCGGCCACAGCTGCATAGCTAGTGATAGGAGGTAGAGCTGAGTAGCAGCGGATGTATTCAGAGTCAAGATTCTCGAGTAGAGAGAGAGAGAGAGAGAGCTGTCTCTTATACACATCTAGATGTGTATAAGAGACAGGTCTGACTCTATCGGTTGAACCTATTGATACCCC